TCAAGAAAATGCAGCTGAGGCGGCAAGAGCTCACCGTGTGCGCGCAGGGAGACAGAGGGAGTGAGGGGCAGCTCCAATCAAGCAGGGCGAGAGAGGAGAAGCCTCCGTCCGGGAGGAGAAGTAGGAGAAAACACGGGAGAGGAGGGGGGTCGTTGGGGTGGTGTTCTGGACCAAGTCCCCTCTCTCTCCTCTCCTCTGTCTGTCTGTCTAGAGAGAAGAGAAGTAGAGCTGCAAAAGTCCTTGCTTTGCTGTTGCTTCCTCTCTCCACCTCCCTCTCGCCGTTTCTTGCTTTTCTTTCTCACTCTTGGCCCAGGAGGTGACTGCACACTCTATCTCTCCACCTTAAAACCAGTACCGAATCTCAAGTTTCAGAATTTATTACTCGCATTGTTTGTTGTTGGGAATCTATCACCACCTACACTGCAAACTTTTCTTTGTGCATTTTTTTCCTTTCTTTTCCTACCTTTCTCTTGCATCTATGAGCCAGCATCAGAGTTAATATGTCAACACTCTTGTGAAGCACGTCAGCGTCAAATCGATATGATGACGAGACATTGCCTGACATGATACTTGTATAGTGTATATATCAATCTGCTGAGGATTGGTATTTATGGTTTGTTTTTTAACTCCTCCAAAAATGCAAAATACTTCCTGTGTAGCACTCCTATATTTCTTTAAGGGGGAGTAGTTTATATTATACTCCCTCTATCTCAAATATAAAACATTTCTTGTTACCATTTCAAGACTATTTGTTAGATTTATCATAATGTTTAGATCAAATTATACTATTTTAGTATATTTTTCATAAAAAATAGAGATTTATTGAAGATGACACTCCTGGTACTCGGATTCTAAATCTCCCACTACTTGAAGCAGGCAAGGTTGAGGTAGGGCATGGGAGGCTTCCTACTCCCACCGCAGCGACGAAAGGCAGATGTCGGTGAAGCTCAATTTTTGGCAACGGGCCTCGATTCCAAGCAAGTTGGGGGAAGTATGGAGGGTCTTCCAGAAATATGGCGATGGAGACGGGTTTGGTGAATATGTTACAGTGTTTTTTACCCTATATGCTTCACATTGGCGGTTATTATGGATCCAAGAGGGATATAAAGACTCTATTAGAGTTGCTCCAATGACTTTGATCCATCATAGCACCGTGTAAAATGTTGTTTTCTAGTAATACAACCTTTAAGAATTTTCTTGGAACACATAAATCAGACAAACTCATTGTTAGAATGTGATCGGGACCATAGACATCAAAACCATGCAATTTACTTGGAAATGGCATTTTTAAGATAGTGAAACATCGAGGAAATTGCTACTTAACTTGAGAAGACACGAGGGAGAAAAGATGCATGAGATAGCTCATATTTGGTTTGCCCTTTATGATCTACTATGCTTTTGCAAGTTGTTCACCATGAGTTTCAGAGCACTTTGACTTTATATGACATGAATAAAAGGCTATCCTTGCGATTTTAATGGTGTCTGGTTAGTTTCTCCCTAAATTTATTACCCCAAATAGGGACTAAAATAGAATGTCTTGGGCATACTCTCTAGTTATGTCATTCCTTTTCTCTAGAGGATGGGGAATATTTTAACCTAGTTTTTTTTAGAATGGGGGGAGGGGTCCCCCACCTGAATTTTCAAAAAAAAACAACAGCTTTATTCATTAGAAACAACAGTTACATCATTTATAAGAAAATTACAATATTTTTCAAAGGCTCCTCAAACTGATCCCTTGTCAGGAAACCCTAATCTAGCAAGTTCTTAAGCAACCTTATTTGCTTCCCTATTACATTGTTCAAGACTAGTAAGAGAAAAAACAAATGCCATGAAATAGCAATCATCGAAAACTACCATCGTCGCTCCTGCAGATTCTCCTCTATTCTTCATTGTGTCAATGACTTTCATATTATCAGAGTTAATAACAAGACGATTGCATCCCAACTTTTGTGCAAGAGATAAATCCAACCTTAGAGCCAACGCTTCCGCTGTCAGTACATCAGCACACCAATCGGTCTTACAGTTTCGGCCAACAATGATTTTTCCTTTATCATCCCGAAGGACAACACCAATTGCGCCCCTAAGCAGATCATGATCAAAAGAAGCATCAAAGTTCGGTTTTAGAAAAACCATAGGAGGTCTGCTCCACTCCCCCCCCCCTCTTTCCTAATTGCATTAGGTGAATGGGCATTTACATAGTTTGCCGTTATAGCTCGACCCCATGGACGTCTGGTACGCATCTTGAAACTTTTCCTCACGAACTAGCTTGTGTCTATCCCACCATAGATACCAAGCGGTTATAGCGATCAATTCATGTACATTCTGGAGGCCCAATATAGATAGTTGTTAGTCTGGCATAAGGAGTGAGAATTCCAGAACTGCCTCTCCCATGTGATCAATAGCACAAGCTTTATTAATCACATCGTACAGCCCCAACTTATCCCAAATGGTTGGGTATTCCTCTATCACTATTCCAAGGCAAAGTGTTTTGCTAGAGTGCGAAATTTTTGAAAAAACATGTTTTCTGCAAAGAAAGTGGGAGGACAGTGCAACTCAATAAGATTGCAGAATCTTCATGATCAGGTCAAAGAAAAGCAACGCTAGAAGTGATTCTAGAATTTCCTACCATGAGTGATACGAAAGACTCTACATGAGATATAGAGACTTCAGTCGAACTTGCAGCTGAACCATATTGGTTGGGAAAATTCGTGCAGACCTTCATGGCATGCAGACAAAATATTGTTGAACAAACGATTAAACTATACTTCACAGAGAAACATTGATGGGACCTCACTCTGGAAATTGGCTATATGTCAAAATAATCTGAGATAGTATCCATACACATAATTGAAGTTTAGAACTTGATGAACCCTTTGAGACTTAGAGTCTAGAAAATAGTAATGGATCTATAAACTCACAGAGATAGAAATGTTTAATAATGCTTGAATTGTTACAAATAGTTTATGATAAGATCAAGGAGTTGACTATGACGAGATTGTATCATCATAGCTATACTTAAAGTCAGTGCAGGTTAAACTAGCAATTACTAAATATTTCAATTATGATATATACTATATGGATGTCAAAATGATTCCCATGAGATGGAAATAGAACCAAGGTTGTATGTTTGATACGATCCAAGGTAATTTTGTCGATTGATACATCCATTTTGCATCATGCTTTTATTTTGATATTTATTGCATTATTGACTGTTATTTACAATATGGTACTATACTTATGCCTTTTCTCTCTTATTTTACAAGGTTTATATAAAAGGGGAGAATGCCGGCAGCTGGAATTCTGGACCGGAAAGGAGAAAATCTGAGATAGCTATTCTGCACAACTCCAAATGTCCTGCAACTTACAGAGAATTATTTTGGAATATATATAATATTGGGTGAAGAAACTACAGAATGGGACCCACCAGGTGGCCACAAGCATGGGGGGCGCGCCCTACCCCCTAGGGCTTGTGGGGCCCCTAGGCATCGTTTGGTGCCCATCTTCTGCTATATGAAGCGTTTTGACCTAGAAAAAAATCATAAGGAAGCTTTCGGGACGAAGCGTCGCCATCTCGGCGTAGAACCTGGGCAGAAGCAATCTAGGGCTCCGGCGGAGCTATTCTGTCGGGGAAACTTCCCTCCAGGAGGGGGAAATCGAAGCCATCATCTTCACCGACGATCCTCTCATCGAGGGAGGGTCAATCTTCATCAACATCTTCATCAGCACCATCTCCTCTCAAACCCCAGTTCATCTCTTGTGTTCAATCTTTGTCCCAAAACCTCAAATTGGTACCTGTGGGTTGCTAGTAGTGTTGATCACTCCTTGTAGTTGATGCTAGTTGGTTTATTTGGTGGAAGATCATATGTTTAGATCCTTAATGATATTTATTACCCCTCTGATCTTGAACATGAATATGCTTTGTGAGTAGTTATGTTTGTTCCTGAGGAGATGGGAGAAGTCTTGTTATAAGTAATCATATGAATTTGGTATTCGTTCGATATTTTGATGAGATGTATGTTGTTTTTCCTCTAGTGGTGTTATGTGAACGTCGACTACATGACACTTCACCATGATTTGGGCCTAGGGGAAGGCATTGGGAAGTAATAAGTAGATGATGGGTTGGTAGAGTGATAGAAGCTTAAACCCTATTTTATGTGTTGCTTCTTAAGGGGCTGATTTGGATCCACATGTTTCATGCTATGGTTAGATTTATCTTAATTCTTCTTTCATAGTTGCGAATGCTGGCAAGAGGGGTTAATC